ACAGATGTACCAGGTGCTAATCTAATAAAGGTACTTTGGGGATATGCTTGTCTCGGAGTTACTGATTGGAATGCTGGAATGCTGGAACACTGACAGAGGGTGAGAGACAATGGGTAAAAGAATAATAGGGAAGAAGATTCTGCAAGGTAATGTTCTGTGATATATAAGAATAAGGAATTGAAGGAAATATTTTTATAATTAATTGAACAGATTAATATTTTTGTAATATATAGATGATTTATAAGCTGACTGAGAGAAAGAATACCATGAGGAATCTGATCCAAAATATATGTATATGTGATATGTAGTAGACAGAAGAATATTGTTATTAATGTACTGTAGAATGAGGTGATTATATTGAATTAAAGGGAATAAATGGAGGGAAACATAAGGTAAATAGGTGGTAAGCTCAGATTGACAACCAAAGGGGACAATTTTTTAACTAATAGAATAAGGATGGAATTATTAAATAATAAATGAAATAAAAATATGTGATAAAATTGCAAATGTGACAGATAAAAGTAATATATATAATGAATATAGAAAAGAAATAAGTATCCTAGATAATATTGTAAAGCAAGATATGAGAATATTTTAAGAAAAATGAAATAAGTTAAGCTATGAACTGAAATTTGATAAAATAGGTTTAATGAATATAATATTTGGGAATATTTAAAAGTAAATAGAATATGTAATAATGTGATATGAATTTGAACAAGAAAGATGGATATATAACCATGGTCATGTTTGTATTGAAATGTAAAAACCTGGAACCACACTGCTCTCCAAAAGAAATGTTTTTGATAGATAGATAGATAGATAGATAGATAGATAGATAGATAGATAGATAGATAGATAGATTAAAGAAGAATTTGAATAAAGAAATTATTATGTATGTTTAAACAATATGGTGATTGGCATTAGAAGAAGGTATTGGAATGCTGAATAATTAAACAATGAAGGATCATAAACTATTATAAATATGTGTATCAATATTAGAATTATATATACAAATGTGATGAATGTAAGGGATGTGATTAATGTTGTTATTTCTGTTTGCACCAAAATGTATGATGATTAGGTGCCACACTATTTATGTATTGATGTAAAAAAAATTGAAAAAAGAAGAAATTTTAAGAAACAAATGAAGAAATTACAGGAGGAACCACATGCAGTAGTGGAGGAACTAGAGGCATTATTTGGGCCAAACATATATACCTGAGATATGGGAAGACTCAGATAATTTGACTTGATCAATTTGATGTGATTTCTGCTAAAAGTTCTTAGATGTGCATCTATAATAATTGCATGCAGAATTGAAGGGGATTGAAATATCTTTACCTGTGTATAGCCCCAATTGGGCATCTGCAGCTCAAAACAAAACATAGTTGTGACAGGTTTGGCCAACCAGAGAAGTAAATGGGCTTTTTGGCTTGGGCTGAAGGCTGTGGGAAACAAGTAGGCAGTGGTCAGGGCCCGCAATCACATTTTTGATTGGAACTGTTCCATACTAGCAGGCTTGTAGGCCTGCATTCCTATTGGTCCGGAAAAGCCGGGCCGTGATTGGACGATATAAAGCATCCTGATTGGTTCGCATACGGTTTGCCGCGATTGGGTAAAACCAAGTGCGGCAAGCTCAAAAGCTTGTCATAGGCTGCCTGGCCGCAGCCAGCTCTATAAAAAGAGCTGCCGCGGCTAGGAAGTTTGTCTCAGTATCTGGTTCCTTAATAAAGAGCTGTTGTCACTATCTCGAGTCTCGCCTCTCCTTGGGACCCACCGCCCAGACTTGACACGAACCACTCCTTGAGTTTTCCCACTCCTTTGAGAACAAACTACAGGTTGCCCAAGGAAAAAAAAAGTGGATATTTAAAGGGACAAAACCTCCCCAGGTCTGGAAATGTGTGTGAGAATGTGACTCTGTGTAATCATTTCCAAAACTGGAGGATGAGACCCTCCAAAAATAGTATACAAAAAGATTTGGAAAATGGAGCCCATTAGCTAAAATAATTATGATTGGTTTGTTTGGTGAAAGCATGAAATGAATTTTTCTGTGTGAAATTGTTTATGCAAGCAGTCTGATTTCAGTACAAATATGTATGTTGATGGTAAAAAGTTGGTGTGAATGTCTGTGTGTTGACACCCATCCCAGATAAAAAGGAAATAGTACTTTGATTCCCTGACTTACAAAGAAACAGTAAGTTGCTAGGTTTTTGTTGTGGAGATGGTGAAGTAGGTGGAAAGGCAATAGCAAGTGTTTGCAAGGAAGATCCCATGGAGAATGTGGGAGAGAAAAGAGGGGTGGGAAATAGAGGAATGTGGAGAGGCAGAGGAAAAGGAATGTGGACTGGACATAGTGGAAGGACTCAGTGTGTGGAAGGGATGGACATTTTGGCAGAAATTGTCCACAAAAGGAAGTAGAAAGAGAAAAAGAACAGAAAGTATATCAATTGATGGATGAGGATGATGATTAGGGGAGATAGGAGTGCCCCAATTTACACAGAAAGAGGGAGAAGAGATGAAAAATGATGGGATAGGACAGGATAAGGAAGGGAGATGGTTTCTGATGGATGGAAGACAAGTTTTAAATAAAGCTATTACTAGAAATGTGATAGAAAAACTACATGAAGGAAGTCATTGTGGAATTTAAGCTATTGTAGATGAACTTTTGAAATGTTATGGTTATATTAGAATATACCCTGTGGCCAAATCACTTATAGACAAATGATTAATTTGTAAAAAGGTAAACAGACAAGCTTTCAGGAAACAACAGATGGGTGGAAAGCCACCAGTGCTAAGACCCTTTCAGTGTATTCTAGTGGATTTTACAGAATTGCCAAAAGTGGGGGGAGTAAAATATTTATTGGTCATACAAGACTACCTCACAGGGTGAGTTGAAGTGTTTCCCTTTAGTAATGCTAGTAATGTGGGAATATCACCACTTGTAATGTTGTTTGGGATACCATATATGGGGAGGGAAGGTTTACCAAGAATTGAATTAAAAGACAAAACGATCAGAAAATATGTACAAGAACTGTCTAGATGTTTTTCTCTTTTACGACAGAAAGGCATTCTTGCACAAACACCACCCTTGGACTTTGCTGTACACCAATATAAAGCAGGACAGTGGGTGTTGATAAAAGCCTGGAAGGACAAGAAATTGACTCCAATTTGGGAAGGACCAGGGGTGGGATTCTACCAGTTCTGTCCACTTCTGTAGAACTGGTTGCTCTGAAGAGCAGCAAACAGAGAGCATACACAGAACCAGTTCTATGTTTGCTGCTGTTTTGGCCCACCTGCCCGCCCGGGCTCTTACCTGACCTTTATTTCCTGCATTTTCAACCACAGCTGCTTTGCGCGACACAGCTGCGGTTGAAAAAGCAGGAAAAAAGGGCTTTTCCAACCACTGCACACTTGCACGCAACGCTGCTCAGCTGTCTGGGCAGCTCAGCAGGGCGTAAATTGCACTTGCACGACTCGCACGCACGCGCGCATGCGTGCACAATGCAGAGTGACAGAACCAGTAGTTATACCGGTTGGATCCCATCCCTGGGAAGGACCTTTCATTATCCTGCATGTTATGAACTAATAAAAACTATTTAATAAAACTTGTAAAACTCATGATAAGCAGGCTTGTAATCCTGCACCTTTGATTGGCCCATGGATAGCGAACAGGGATTGGTCCTTACGGAGCAGCCTGATTGGCTATTAGTTGAACATCTCTCATTGGGCAAAAGTTAAGCATTTGGACACAATTCATTGGTTAACGGGTCAGCAGCCAGCTCTATAAAAGAGCTGCTGCTGCCCAGGGTTTTTCACGCTCTGTTCCTAATCCTTAATAAAGAGTTGAAGTTCACTAGTTCTCTGACTCGTCTCCGTTCCTTGCACCCATGCCCAGAATATAACACTGGTGACGAGGGTGGGATGCGGAGACGATAGAGCTGACTGAACACTAAAGAGCGCCAAACAGAGCACGTGGCTGAACACGCACCAACAACGGCAATATGGCCAGCGGTGCTATACCACCCGCTCCATTTGACCCGGCAAACGAAGACTGGGACTCGTATATGGATCGGTTCCAGATGTTTCTGGAGACCAATAATTTAAAGGACGCTACAACCGGCAAGAAACGAGCAATATTCCTGACCCATTGCGGGCCGGCCATATTTAAGATGGCGAAATCACTTGCAAAACCGGCTGAGGTGAAATCAATGGACTGGGACGCCCTCGCGCCCCTTCTACGGGCCGACTATGCACCCGCGGTGCCAACACTTGTCCGAAGGCACGAATTTTACCAGAGGGACCAACGGAAAAGCGAACGTCTTGCAGACTACATCGCTGACCTCCGGAACTTGGGAGGCCTCTGTGGGTTTTCCAACCTCGAAGAAGCTTTGCGAGACCGCATAGTTCTGGGATTAGATGACCAGACGGTGCAGAGCAAGATCATGGCCAAAGGGGACATCGATCTTGCCGATGCCATCGCAGACGCTACCGCAGCAGAAGCAACCAGGAAGTCGGCCGCTCGAATGCCCCGCACCAACGCACCGCTCCGTCAACTCGCGAATGACACCTCGCCTCGCCCCGAGAGGCACTCAACAACGGCGCACCATGAAGACCTGGAATCCCCATCAGAAAGCGATGAGGAAGAGGTCAACCGACTCCGGTCCGAACGAGACCAACAAAACCAACGATTCCCGTGACAATGCGCGGGTTGTGGGGCAAACCACTCACGATCCGATTGCAAATTCCTCGACGCACTCTGCCATTCCTGTGGAAAAAGAGGCCACATCGCAAAGGTCTGCAGAAGCAAGCGAGGATCCAGTCCAAAGCGCCGGGAGAATAACTGCAGTCAGTCTTCGGGATTCGCTCCTGCGAATCGAAACCACCAGAACCACCAATGGAACAACCACTCCTACAGAAATAAAACACCTGCCACTTCAACGAGACGAGAAGAGGCACACCAAACCATTACCATCGGCCACGCTACATCCTTAGATGCAAGAAAGATCCGAGTGAAGGTCGCCATCGAGAACCAACCATGCGTGATGGAAGTCGACTCGGGGTCGTCTCTCTCGATGGTTTCCTGGAAGACCTTCAAACAACTAATTCCGGCCATCCGTCGACAGGACCTCAGCCCCCAAAGGATCATACTCAAGGATTACCAGGGCAACAGAATCCCGGTCGTCGGGTCCAGCCAAGTCCAAGTCTCCTTCAAGAATCATATCGCATCACTACCGCTGACCGTCGTCGACCGTGACCGGCCTAGCTTATTAGGCCTACAATGGTTCGCCCCGCTCGGGATCGAAGTAGCCGGCGTCCACCGAGCTGAGAGCAACGACTGGGAGGAGTCTCTCGTCCAAGAATTCCAGGACGTTTTTTCAGACGAGCTAGGCAAGTACAAGGGGACCCCAATATCGTTTAACCTCAATCCTGAAATAGCTCCCATCCGCCTTAAGCCTCGTCGGGTGCCTTTTGCACTAAAACTAAAGATCGACGAGCAACTCGATAAATTAATAGCCCAGGGCATTTTAGAACCAACCGACCATGCCCGTTGGGAAACCCCAATTGTAACACCCATTAAACCAGATGGATCGTTAAGAATTTGTGGGGATTATCGGGCCACTTTGAACCACGCACTTCAGCAGAGTGCTTACCCGGTGCCGGTGGTTCAACACTTTCTCCACTCCCTGGGTGGTGGGAAGATATTCGCTAAATTGGATTTAGCACAAGCGTACCAACAGTTGCCCGTAGGTGCGGAAACTGCGGAAGCACAAACTATCGTTACGCATAGAGGCGCTTTTAAGTGCAATAGACTCCAATTCGGAGTGAGCGTAGCTCTGGGAATTTTTCAAAGTTTAATGGAGAGACTCTTACAAGGCATAAAAGGGGTCGTGCCATATTTTGATGATGTTTTAATCACCGCCCCTAATAGAGACATCTTAGAAAAGCGTCTCAGAATGGTTCTAAGGAAATTTAAAGACGCCGGCCTGAAGGTTAAAAAAAATAAATGTCAACTGTGTACTGAGAGGGTGGAGTTCCTGGGATACCTTCTCGATAGTCAAGGAATCCATCCCACTGATAACAAGCTAAAAGCGATTAAAAACGCCCCAACGCCTAAAAATAGAACAGACCTCCAAGCCTTTCTGGGGCTCATTAACTTCTACAACATTTTCTTGCCCCAGAAGGCGACTGTAGCGGAGCCCTTACACAGACTTCTTGATAAAAGAGCAACCTGGGTCTGGGGACATCGAGAGGAACGCGCCTTCCAACAAGTGAAAGACTTACTAACCTCCGACGCTGTTTTGATGCAGTACAACGAGACTTTACCCTTAACTATTACTTGCGACGCTTCACCGTTTGGAGTGGGAGCAATCTTAAGCCATGTACTACCAAACGGACATGAAGCACCTATTGCGTTTTTCTCACGAACACTATCAAAGGCTGAAAGGAACTATAGCCAACTCGATAAAGAGGCCCTTGCTGTTGTGTCTGCAGTGAAGCGCGTTCACGAATACGTGTATGGACAAGCATTTACGATAGTCACAGATCACAAACCATTGCTTGGTATTATAGCGGGAGACAAGCCAACCCCCTATATATTATCGCCAAGAATGACTCGTTGGTCTGAGTTCCTAGCTGCCTACAATTATCTGTTGCAACATCGCCCGGGGAAAGCCATTCCCCACGCTGATGCGTTAAGCCGTTCCCCATTTCCAGAAACCGTCAACGACCCAGCTCCAACCCTCACGATGCTCCAAATTGAAACGCTGCACTCGCCGCCACTAACAGCGAGAGACATCGCCATCGAGACGAAACGGGATCCTGTCCTGGCACGAGTTCTCAGCTGGGTCGAACGAGGATGGCCAGCTGACCAAATCCACGACGATTTCACACCATTCAAGAATCGGCAGACAGAGCTTTTCTCCCAGAGAGGCTGCGTTCTCTGGGGGGATAGAGTAGTCGTCCCAGAGAGGCTACAACAGACTGTTTTAAAAGTATTACACGAGGGACATCCGGGCATCGTGCGCATGAAGGCGCTCGCACGAAGCTACGCGTGGTGGCCGGGCATCGATAAGCAGATTGCAGCCTGGGTAACCACGTGCCAGAAGTGCCAAGACGTTAGCAATGCCCCACCTAAAACGACGCCAACCAAGTGGGAAACCCCTCGGGGTCCGGGGTCCCGTATCCACGTTGATTTTGCGGGACCCACCAAAGGACACACGTTTTTATTAACAGTTGACGCCTATTCAAACTGGCTAGAAATCCAGAAGATGAAGACAACCACAACAGAGTCAGTCATTAATAAACTGAATAAATTATTCGCAACACATGGGTTACCAGACGTTTTAGTTTCTGATAACGGGCCCCAGTTCACTGCCCTAGCTTTTGAACAGTACCTAGCGGACCGGGGCATCCGCCACGCGCTCACCTCGCCAGCGCACCCTGCGGCTAACGGAAGGGTGGAACGAATGGTACAATTCGTCAAAAAAACCCTACATAAAATGGACTATGGGGACATCGACGACAAGCTCAACCGAATACTCCTGCTCCAACACATCACCCCACACAGCATCACGAATAAGACGCCTGCCGAACTGCTAATGGGGCGGAAACTTCGCTCTCACCTTGACCGTCTCCATCCCTCTTATTCACCAGAAAAACCTTTCGGATCTAGCAGAAAGTGCCGCGACTTCAAGGTAGGCGACTTGGTGTTTGCTAAAAACTTTTCTGGCAACCCATTATGGGTCCCTGCAACTATTACCCAACCCACCGGCCCCAGATCCTATCGCCTACAGACTAATGACGGGAGAGCATGGAAACGCCATATAGATCAGCTTCGATCCAGATTGGCACCCACCTCCCGTGACTTCCCTAATTCACAAACTAAGGGGGGAGGGGATATCGAGGAGACCGAAAGCGAAATAGATGATGACGTAATCACGGGGGCCCAGCAACCTAACCGAAGAAACGCGCAACCTGAAGAAGAATCAGGAAGCGGGGTGGCATCACCGCCCAGAAATAGCACGAGGGAGGCAAGCCCACGGGACCCGGAAGTAAGCCTAGGAGTCTGGGGTAACAACAACGAGAGCCGCGCCGAGTCCTCCCGCACAGAAACGGAACTAGCCGTACCAGAAAACCTTGGAAGCGTTCCACCGGAATCGGACTCCAGACAAAAACCGGTGGAACTGCGAAAATCGAACAGGCAGGTGAAACGACCTGCATATCTACGCGAGTATGTTACCGCACCCCTCAAACGGAACCTAGGGGGGAGGGGTGTTATGAACTAATAAAAACTATTTAATAAAACTTGTAAAACTCATGATAAGCAGGCTTGTAATCCTGCACCTTTGATTGGCCCATGGATAGCGAACAGGGATTGGTCCTTACGGAGCAGCCTGATTGGCTATTAGTTGAACATCTCTCATTGGGCAAAAGTTAAGCATTTGGACACAATTCATTGGTTAACGGGTCAGCAGCCAGCTCTATAAAAGAGCTGCTGCTGCCCAGGGTTTTTCACGCTCTGTTCCTAATCCTTAATAAAGAGTTGAAGTTCACTAGTTCTCTGACTCGTCTCCGTTCCTTGCACCCATGCCCAGAATATAACACTGCAGACCACTGAGACTGCAATTTGAAATGCAAAAAAGGATGGACTCATTACCAGGTGAAAGGGCTTGTGCCAGCCCCAAAGGAGTGGAAGGTGGAATCTCACCAAGGAGATCCACTGAAGCTGAGGATCCAAAAAATCAAATGGACTGGTGGACAATCCTTTTACCTGTAAGAGGGGTAATATTCACTCTTGGATTAACTTTTGTGTTTTTTCTATTCAGAGCAGAATGGTTGCCTATGCTCTTTCCTCAGCTGAAGGAGACCACAACTGAGCAGATTCCATTACGCACCCTCCCAGATGTGTTGGTTTTGTAATTGTGTTTGTGTATGTTGTTGTTGTTCTCATTGCATTGATTGTGTATGTTGTATTGGGTGTAAGATAGAGTGTGTTATGAGAAAAAGAATGATAAAAGGGTAGCAGTAGGAGACATGATTTGCTTGACTGTATGGAGTAACAACAGTTGGTGGGGAAGAAGTGGAACCTCAGAAAAGGAAGTATTAAGTGAAATAACTGAAATGGCTTATTTGAAGGATCCCGAAAGTGACACTTCGGACTGTGTAGCTCTGGAAGGTATGTATTGGATGTCTATGGATATCTACCTAAGGGGTGGTATGGATCTTGTATATTGGGAATAATCAAGCCAAGCCTTTTCTTCCTCCCCATTAGACAAAAACAACTGTTGGGACTAGCTGTGTATGATTATCTAGCTAATCAGGTCAGAACAAAAAGAGCTGTGCAACCAAGTGATATAAAAATTGGAAACTGGAAGGAATCTTGGGATTCCTGACTCTGATGATGTTACCGTATTTGACTCCTCTCATACAAATGCTAATAAAAAGAACTATAAGCAGCATGACTCTAATGACAATGTCAACAGAGTGGGAAAAGGAAAACCATGTTAGTAATGAAAGTAGGCAAGCAACAGCTATTGGGCTAGGCAACAAGTAAATAAGATAAGCGACATCCTCCCAAGGTAAAGCCCAGCAGTGAAACAAGATAAGACACTGAGGCACAGAAAACAATGTCATGTTTGTTTGTTTGTTTGTTTGTTTGTTTATTTAATTTGTCAATCACTTACAAAATAATAGGTATAAGTATAAACATGACTAAGAATACAGAAAATAGGTACGATTAAATGGGGACAATAGGACAGGGATGGAAGGCATGATGGTGCACTTATGCACGCCCTTTACAGACCTCTTCGGAATGGGGTGAGATCAATAGTGGATAGTTTGAGGTTAAAGGAATGGGGGTTTGAGGATGTAACAACAAAGTCAGGT